AGAACAGTAGGGGGAGGACATCGCACACTCGACGAGACCACCACCGCCACAGAACAAACCGTATCCGACACCCAATTAGGACGATCGGGAACGAAGTACGGCTCGCAGAGAACTGCCACGTCGATGGACCACTCCGCCAAAGCCTGCAGGCAGAGATCCTGCGGACCTGGGGAATGGTTAAGGTTCGCCTGGAGGAATTTGATGGACGAATAGGCCATTACTCGTCCATTGTAATTACCTCCGGGACGGCAGCATTAACGGTCGGAGCCGAGGATTTCGGGCGCTCCGTACCTTTGCGGCTTTTGGGTGGGTGGCAGTTCCTGCCCCCCACCATATGATTGGCGGCGACGCCAGCATCCGCGCAGATCGGACACCGCGGGTCCGATGTACAAGCCTGGGCCATGTGCCCCTCACGACCGCAACGGAAGCACAAACGGCTGCGGTCGATTGATGAGGGGCATTTGAGGCCGGCATGGCCCACTTGTAGGCACCTGAAGCAGCGCATAGGGCGCGGCTCCAGCGGCAGCACTCGTGCCGAGCTCCAGCCGACTAAAAGCCGACCGGCCTCCACGAGACACTTGGCCACCGCGATCGGGCATCGCACCCATGCGGCCCCCGTTCCAAATGCTCCACGGGAGCGGATCGGGCCCACCCTGACTTGCTCAGCGGAGCAGTTGGCCTGGCGGATGATCGCCGCGAGGACGTCTTCCTGGGACACCGAGTCGTCCAGCCCGGAGACTCGCACCTCCGCGCACTTCACGGGCCGGGTGACTTTGACGTCGGGGACCAGCTCCCGGAGTTTCTGCGCTAGGAGGTCTGCCTTGTCCTCACCTGCGCACTCCGGAAGCTCGAACAACCGGGCCCCGGTTACCGTTTTCTTGCAGACGAGACCCATCGGCAAACCAAGTTCTGCCAGGTTGAGTCCCGCCCGCGCCGTCTTCAGGACGTCCTCATAAGACCTGGAGGAGTCTTGTGGCAACGTCAACACCACCGCCGGTGTCTTCGCCTCTTTAAGGGTCCGTTTCCGTCGACGGTCCCTCTCCTTCTTCTTTTTCTTCTTTGGCCCTGTTTGGGCCTTCGAAGAGCTAGGCCTGGGTGCGGACCGACCGTTGCTCTGCCCACCCTTGGGGGCGGCAACCGGCCCAGCACCAGAGCTCGGAGCCTTCTTCTTTTTAACTACCTCCGTCCATTTCTCCGACATGGACGGAGGCGGTGGAGGCAGAAAACGCGGGGCATTGCCTGCCACCGGTTTCTGGGAGCCCTTCTTCTTAGTGGCCTTAGCGGCCACTCGCTGTTGATGGCGCTCGGGCTCTGCCACAGCCTCCGAAACTGCAACTCTGGCTCTGTCGGAGGCTAGGGGCGGCCGCAGACGAGGCTCCGGTAAGAGCCTGTCTTGGATGCTCTGGAGCTTCGAGTCCATCATGTTACTGAAGTCGAGCATCATCGCGGCGCGAAGCTCCTCCAGCAACTGTTCCTGCTGTTCTCTGGGGGGGGGAGCAATGGCCATCTGGTCCACGTCGGCCCGTAAACGGGCTTGCCCCTCCCTCAACACCTCCAGCTCCTTTTGGAGCAGGGCGTTTTTAGTTTGCTCCTCCTTTAGCTGGGCCTGCAGAATGCGAACCTCGTCGCTCGACCCTCTTTCCAGGAGCACCTCCTTTGCGCTGCGCAGAAGCTGCGTCGACGTTTTCAGCGCCCGGATGTAGCCGCCCTTTAAGTTCCCGGATTTCCGGGCGACTTCTAAAATGGCTTCGAGCGCTTTGTCCACTTCTTCTTCTATAGATGAGGCCGGCAGAGACCTGAGGGAAGGTAGAGCCACCTCAACCCTCTTCGCCCGCCTCACAATCTCCTCCTCGGACTCCAAAAGGAGCGCCTCGCGCTTCTGGCGGTTTAACGCTTCTTTGGCCTGGGCTAAACCGACGTACATCCCCGTTGTGGGGGGCCGTCCTCTGCCCCGTTTGGCCGAAGTAGTAGCCGCCACCTTCTTTTGGCTTTTGCTCGACGAGCTGCCGTCCGAAGACGGTCTGAGGGGGCGCTTTCGGACCGAGACGGGAATATCGTACTCAGAGCACGTCTCCATCGATCGGTCCGTATCGGAGCCACCCTGGCTCGTCGAGCGAGCGCCCTGCGCCTCGCTCCGCTGGCTAGTCTCGCTACGCGAGACGGAGGACTGACGCACACTGGACCGCGTTGTCCTCGACGTACTCGCACGTTCGAGACTAGCCACCAACTTTCCATTGTCATTTAGCAAATCGGATCCTTTAATCTGGCCATGGTCATTGGTGCCCACTGCACCTCTGCGAGGGTTCCTTGAGGAGGAACCCTCCTGGCGTTGGTTGCCCCCCCCAGAATACGTGGGGCTGACTGCCGTTTCGACAGTGAGGGATTCCCCAGCCTCTTCGAGACTGGGACCCTCCTGGGGTAGTCTTACGCTATTTTTACCGGACGCCATTTTTGTTGTGACCCTGTAAGGCAGGGCCGCCCTAGTGCCCTCGGGACGAGCCACCCGCTCGCCATTCATCCCAAGGCCGGGCACCACAAACCGGGGATTAGGGGCCGTATAAGCCCTTCCATCCGCACACATACATCACGCACAAGAGATAAATATCAGAAAGACAGAGAAGAAAGACGTTGAAAGATAGAACATATACGATATAAACAAAGTGAAGAGTAAACTATATAAAGAAAGAAAAGACAGAGAAAGACTGGTGTTCAGCCGTCTGAGCACCTCACCCCGTGTAAAGGGCGGGGTGGCGCACCCAGACGTTGCCCAGGGGCACCAACGAGGAGGTACCGGTACCGCCCCTTAGATCTTAAATATTATAGCAACTTTACACAACTTTACAAATATATGTGCAAAAAACTCGAGGCGTTCTAGAGGCAAAGGCGTTTTGGAGAAATATCTAAATAGATATTTCAGAGTAGTTTTATTCAGAAAAAAAAATAAACAAAATAATATATGATTTCTTTAGTCCGCTGAAGCCTCTGCGTATTGCTTAAATACACTTTATATCTACTCATTTATCTGTCATTGATGTTTTAATTGAAAAACTACAATAAATTAAAGAAAAACACAAGTAATTAGGATCATATGTTGTTATTATGATTGTTATAAAGTCAAATAATACGGACTTATTTTTCTTCTTCTACCTGGCAATTTTTTCCAGCTTTAGTCAGGGTCTGCCTTACATGTTGTGAATAGTTTTGGTCTATTTGTTTTCACGACCGGCCAGGGTGCTTGCGCCTGACATCAACTCTCTTTGGAAATCGGCATTAATCAGTGATGTCTAAATACTCTTAGAAAGTACATATGATTCTGAAAAATCACATTGGTACTTGCCCGGGCCAGGTTCGAACCCGCACCCTCGTGAATGAGAGGCGGGCCCTTTAACCACTAGGCCACCACTGACTTTTACGGACTTATTTTTGTACCAACATACAAATGAATCTGCATTTAAATTGATATATAAGTAATTGGCTACCATGATTGCTTATCGTCTGTTTATCAACATCCTCATGTGGTATAAAAATATATACCACTCGGATCTACCTTATAGAACATATTATGTTTCTTTGTTATAAATTTCTCATATGTAATTAATAGGCATCATAAGAAAATGTTGTCCAAAGATATCGAGTAAAAATTTACATGCTATTAAATTTAAGTAACATATATAAAGTGCAAAAGAATTTTTTATGTGAGAAATAAAAAGATGCCGTGTAATTGATCATTATTAATGAAAAGTTTAATTCTAATTCGACTGATACAAGTATATTTTCTTACCAGTATCTTTTCGACAGAGACTACACTATAAAACATTATATACAGTAATAGTGTAGTAATATGTATATATAATTTTAATATAAAAATTATGATACTAGGTAAATTTAAGCTAGAATGAAAAACATATAGTATTTTAATTCAATGTTTATTGTCATGATACGGAGTTTTTTTAATTAATTCATAAAAAGTCGTAATATATTGAGCGCAGTTTAAAATATAAACATATTTATGGCAACACACAACACAGTAAAGTCTTCAATAACATAACATGAATACCGTCATTTAAACATTAAAAAAATAGCCCATGCCTCAATTATTAGCTACTTATTATACTCATAACAAAATCTCTTTCAATGTAACTTGCATAATAGTACTAAATCACAGAAAATAACATTGACGAATTATAATGGAATGTTTTTAATAAAAAATAAACGAACACAGAACATCTGAACTACAATTGTTTTTATAATTTACTTGCCCTTTGTATAAATGAGTGTTTGACATATTTACCAAATTTAACAAAATATTACCACACCATTTAATATTAATTTTATGACACATTACCCATTGCATTTTATAAGATTATTTGTTAAAACATTTATATTGTTGTTCTTAAATTAATATAAACAATTTATTTATGTACAATCTTATATTATGTGTATATATATTGTACCATTCATATTATATTATTCGATAAAACAATATAAACACACCCGTTACGAACGTTTGGCTTTTAACTTATTTCGTATCTATACATAAAATTATGTTTATAATATTTATATTATAGTATATTTGTTCTGTTTCATATAATATTAAGAAAAGCGCCTAAATGTAGTATAAACGAATCGTCCCCTGTAAAAATTGCGTCGTCAGTTGACTTGACATAAAAGTTAAGATTTAAAAAACTACGAAACGAAAAAATATTTGTGGTATTGTAAAAAAACAATTGTATTAAATAATTGAATCGTATCAGAGTGGCGTCTAATTTTATTTTAATGTACAATATTGCTAGATCAACTTAATTTTTGTAGATAGAAAAATTTGAGCTTTGTTATATTTGTCATATAACTCGTACAGTTCATAACATATTATCTACAGCGGATTTTCCAGTAAAATGAAACATAGTATATATTTCTTAATATTTCAAAGTACCATACAATACGACTTATGTATATATAAATATATAAAACACAGTGACACTTTTGTGTTAATTATGTTCCTACCATTTACTTTTTAATCTTATTTTTAAAGCTATATAAGCCAAACATATAAACGCCGATCCGATTATCAACAGGGCTATGACCGCTAGTGAATATTTTTCATCGTGCATTCCATTGTCTTTTATAAATTTTCTTGGATACGAGTAATGGCAGTATAAATCCGAACATACTAGTTTAGGACGTTCTAGACCAAATATTGCAATAACTAAACCAACTAGACCATGTTTTAAAAATGATACATTAAATATCCACTGTATGAAGCTAGGTGCGTCGCTGTACCGAAGGAAGAAACCGGAGAATATCGTGAATGGCATTATGAAGAGTGGTCCGAAGATAACTCCATTCTGCAAAAAAATAATACATCAGTCCCAAAATACTTCAATTGATACTAGGTAAAAAACTTTTGCCAAACTTACTTTCACTGTAAATAGCGATCCATTAAAGAGACCGGCGCAAAGAGCAACAAATGACACTAGTAATAACGTTATGCTAAATATTGAAAATCGTATAAATTCTAAAGGCTGTCCGGTTAGAAAGTAGGTAATAGACGCAAACAGTAGCGTACACACTGTCTGTATGGGTAATGTTGATACTAATGTTGAAGCGTAATACGCTCCAGTGTTATACCATCTGTTGAAGTGCTCTCGTCTTATAACTGGGATTTGTTCTGGAACTGAAAGTAAATTTCTTTAGAAATCATAATAATCTATAGGCATAACGGCTCAATATCTAAAATCATCATGCTAGTGTTTAACAAGGGTAAATACTCACAATTTATGGACACAGAAGTGAATGCTGTGAACATCAGAAACATGAGACTAAAGTAGAGGAAGTTGTAATTGTCTCTAACGTACGTTGCGTCCTCACCCACATTGAAAAACAGAAACCCAACGAACAGGGCCATGGCCGTATGGATGCCAGTTATCAATAAGGCGAAGGACGGATTGCGCCAGACTCCCTAAAAACAATATACACATTTTATTTCGTAACAAACAAATATCTTTTCAATTCGATAATATATTTAAAATCTTATTTACTTATTGTTATTCAATAAAAAAAAAACAAAAAGTATTTATTTTATTTAATAATTATATTTTAGAAGTCCATCAAATAGATTTTACTGTATTCCTTAGTTAATATTTTTCGTATAATTAATGAAATGAGATATCATAATATCATTTTATGAATATTTATTTACCATAAGAGATCTTTTACTTAGTATTATGAATTGGTTCCAAGCTGATGTGGGGTATGTACTTTTGAGAGCCAACAATATTTTGTTTGTCGGATCTCCCTTGGTTGATGGTAAAGTTGTTAAATAGACTTCTTCACTTCTTCTATATTCTAAAACCAGTAGTACACCAGAAATTTATAAAAGAAAAAGCAAAAACAATATCTTATTATAAATATATGTGGAAAAAATACGAGCATATTACATTTATAACTTTACCTATTATCTTTTTATCAGTCTCATGAGAATTGTTTTGAGTCCATTTATTACTTTTACCATTTTCGGAGAATTCAACTAAATCGTTTTCATTTTCTATGCATATTTCTATAACTGAAAATGAAAAATTCTGTTAGACATTAAATACTTAATATAAAAAAATCTTTATAGTAAATAAATAGAATAAGTTCAAGCCAGGTAATTTATTTCTACTCTTTAGATCTAAATATTTTTTTAATTTATTGGTAACTAATCTTGAAAAGGAGTTTAAACTTTTATTTCTTATTTTATATAAGCTGTGTTACAAAAAATAAATGATATACAAATTAAATGAAATAAACGTAGATATTATTAATCTTTTTTATATTTTAGATGTTCAAGTTTTAGAAGTTTTAATTGTATATTTTAAGGTGTAACGAAACAGTGACTATTTTTATACCATTTTTTTTAAATCTAGGTATCCTGTAATAAAGTCGAACAGGGGCGGATATAATTATTGTAATGTAAGTAATCTTATTTGTAGTACTTTAGTTTGAGTCCAAAGTGCGATGAAGCTTTTTTTTGAGAAATACTTTCATAAGTTCTCTGTTTGGTAAAATTTCAAGATATTTCTTTATTGAAGTGCGGGTACGTATGTAAAATATAACCACTTACAAAAGTCTACCGGGTTGTGGTATGGCGGGCAGGTAAGATTCAATTGGTTAAGATAAGGCAGTAGGAGTGATACAGAGCCCATGTAGGCACATCTTCCAGCTACGATGCCGTATAACTTGTCCACCATATGAAGGACAAGACCTGAAGGCTGATGCATGCTTATGATCACTGTACGCCCCTGTCTCGCCAGTAAATGTAGAAGATAGACCAACTGCTTTGATATCGAACTGTCCAAACCACTGGAAAATATAATTGTACATACATATATGATAATTATGTTGTTATTTGAAATATTTACATTTATCGATGGAAATGTAGAAGAAAAACCATTAACGACACATAAAATCCTTGTGCTAAATCATTAAAAAATATTACACAGCAATTAAGATGTCATAAAATTTACATTGTATTGTGAATCTATATAATGACGTATTGAGGTAGTTTTGTGAATACATTTTCATTGTATAATTTTATTTATATAGCAATTTGCAAATAAAATGAATATTTTAATTACAATGAGCAAGAATAAACACAAAATAAAAATAAAGCATATAAACATTGTAAGTAAGTTTTAAATACTTTGATACTTGTTACTAATTTCATACTTATTAATTTCGTTTTAAAAACTATCCACCTGTTACCAAAAAGTACTTTTATATCAAAAAATTATGTATGTGTTTATTGCGTCTAAAAATCCTTTGTAACGTGTTCTCAAAACAAGACATTCCATTATTTTTTCATAAATTATATTTTAATTAAGTTATAGTGAGCAGACATATTACGAAAAAATCTGTATATATGTACAAATGTCTTTAATATTAAATAAATTGAAATGAGTAAATTGTAAAGGTCATATAAAATCAAGTGACCGCTTTAGACAAATAATTAGGTCTTATATAGATATTTTCCTCATCGAGTACGGATCTCTTTAGTCTTACCATTAGCATAATATTATGTATAAGCACGCTTGTAAGTCATGATTTTAGGTTAAACTAGTTAACAGCCTGGTTTCCGTGCAAAAAAATCTTGAAAACTGACGCATAAATTTAAACACATTTCCGTTAACATTTTACTCATTTAAAATTAATAGTATCAAGATAATATATCTGCGTTTTAAATTAACATTTTTATTATAAAATATCACGAGTACAGGAGTATTAAATAACGGTATGTATTTAAATAAATTTCACTAATGCATTTTGAAACCGCCTTTCTGTTTCACAAATAAAATTGATTTTTATGCGAAAGCTAGAAACCCAAAATACTATCCAATAAGTATACGATTATAAAAATTATATAAAAAATATCACAGTTTCAATAACTATTTGGTTATCTCTATTAAATTAAGACAAATTTTTGTTATTTATTTTTGTTTTCAAAACTAAATCATTTTTTTAGGGTAGTTGTCAAAGGCTTAGCTTTTGATATCCTTTCATCGTTTTTGAGAAAAAAAAATTGTATTAAAATATATAAATCTATTGAATTTACCATATTCAAAGAACTGTTCTTATTTATTTAAATCTAAAACATAAGTTCAATAAAATTATAATTAAACAATTAAAAAAAACACTTTTAGTGATAACAGTATTATTAAACTATTTTCACGCTATATTATTTTACGTATTGATTCAATTATAGTAAAAAAGAGGTAGTAATTAATGCTATAATATTATGAGCAAAAAAATTAACAACAATGCTATTATTTTTTTATTGTTATTAATATCCTGTTACATGATTTTTAATTGCTTGAGCCAAAAATAATTTTGTTGGCGTAGAAATAATATACGAACTACTATAAGATTCCATGAAGGATTATTTAAAAGTTTTTATTTAACTTAATATTTGTTAATTATTATGTTACTTTTGTCTGGAATTTTTACAACTTATTTTTAAAACAGATATAAATCAATCAATTCCTATAAAATTTTATATGGTTTGGACGATAATATACAGATCGAATTGCATAAAAGTAATAAAATAAATAACATTATTTTTTTTTATAAGCAAGCATAAGTGGTAAATACGAGAAAAAGAATAATTTTTCATTTAATCACTTTAATTCATAACTATTCAAAGATAAATTCGTTTGTATAGTATTACGAAGTTTCGAGACATTAAGCTCATACATAAATGAAACATATTTTTGGTAACCTAACTGATGCTTTTTGTGTTTGTACTCAATTATTAATTTCACCCTTTATATCTATTGTAAGAAGAGTTATTATTTTCTGGCAGGTAATTACCTCGTTGGTTCATCCAGAAACATAACTGGTGGGTCACTGACTAGTTCTAATCCAATGGCCAGTCGTTTTTTTTGACCTCCGGAAAGATTTCCCACTCTTGTGTTTCTTACTCTTCCGACGTCCAGCGATGTCATCAATTCCTCTATCTGAAAAAGGCGGTATAACATATTAGTAATTTTTTTTTTGTTTTGCAAAATACCAGTCATTACGTTCAAACGTAAATTTTTTGCTGCTAATTATCGTTTACACCATTTAGATTTTTTGTCATTTGAAAAAAATCTTCGTCCAAAACACGGATATAAACAGATTTAATTGTTTCTAAATTCAAAATAGTGTTAAATTTTTAAGTTATAATACATATTTAAGAGAAACCATAAAATAGCTCAGAATATTATATTTTTTATATTTCATAACACAATACACAGTTTTCATATTTTTTATTTTAATTCTGTTTTATTACTGTCTGGTTCTTTGTAACAATACAATCATTTGGGATATTTTAAACAATTCAAATTACAAGGACATGTTTTTATATTTACGATAAAAGAATTATAAGACAAGGAAACGTATTTTACAGTTTATTTAGACGGTTAGACAATTAAATTATAAAGGGCTTCAATTTAAAGAATACGCAGAATTTTATGAAACTCAAAAGTATAGATAAGAAAGTTATTACTAAGATATGTCTGAATATGAAAGAAATATATATATATATATATATTTGAGGTTTTATTGTTTAATGAAGTACTTCTTAAAGTATTTATAAAACTCTATGAACCACGACAAATAAATGTTTGACGGCAATGTATTAAATGTAAAGAAAAAAATATATCTGGGTCGCTTCTTTTGTCAAAGCTTGTAATAAAGACATAATATTCTGTTACCCGTTTCTTCTTTTGTTGCCTGCTTATGTGATTTCCTAATTTTAATTCAGCTGCAATCTTCAGTGATTCGTCGACGGTTAGCGTGTCATAAATCTTGTCGTCTTGTAAGATATAACAGGACCGTCTTCTGAATAGTTTCTCATTTCTCGTCCGCCCGTTTACATAGATTCTGCCTGTAGTTGGTTTTCTGCAAATATATATATACCTATATACATATTTTGATAAAAGAAACAAAGGTGACAAGTATGTATGGACGTCAAATATTCAATATCGATTTTTTAAATTGGAGTCAACATTATCTTTATGGTCATATAAATATTTAAATTAAATAAAAGCATTAAAAGGTGACTAAAGTTCAAAAATCCATAGCGATGATTGACTGATTATTATTTTATATAAATGTAAATATTACGTATAGTATAAACAGCCATCAAGATAAACAAATAATATTTAATATATTAAGTAAATTGAATATACTTATAACATTATTAATTACGTGAGTAAATACAGCATAACTGTATTTGTAAAGACAAAATACTATTAAAACTTTAATTATCTTAATTGCTTTAACAAAAATCGCTAATTAATTGCAATTCTCTATTATTACTTTCTCTCTCTAATGATTGCCATTAGCATATTTTTGTATTGAGACAGGAAAGAAATGATTATCAAATATAAAAACTTTACGCATCTAAGAGTAAAGTCGAGATAAATTGAAAGGAAACCGGTAATATCATTGAATGGTTACTTCCTTATGATCTAGATTGTTAGGTTTAAAGAAACACCGACGTATACGTCTCCCACTCATTGGATCAAATCGGGTGACTAACTATTATAAAGTACTAATAGTTTTATGAAATATTCTTGTAGCTATTTTTTATATTGATGTACATGTTATATGTTTTATGGCCATTGTCTGCTGTAATCAGTACACTGTTGACTATAGGACTTTCCTACACAAAGAATATGAGACTAATTTTCTGATCGTAACCTACCTTACTATAGGTATTCTACCTTTAGATTTATGACTTAATGGACGTTCAACATAACATGCTCCATGCCTATGTTCGGTTTATTATACTTGTGGATTCCTAAGAGAAACTCCAAGTATGTCTCCATCATTTTATATGTACTTTAATAATGAGTGATATTTGAATAGCGGGTTTATTGTAAGCTTCGGCACTAAACTAAACTTACAAGTTTGTTGTTTATAAAGAAAGTTAATTGTGATACATAAAATTACGATTCCTTTACATGTGATAAAAAATAAATAGAATGATTCACCGTTATGTTACCATGATAATAAATAGGCCTATCTATAAGTGGGCCACTGCAATGTGTATGCACATTGAGATAGATACTTTATGACACATATTTTATAAAAAAAATCACTACAATATTTATGTTAGTTATTTTATTAATGTCAAACAAATATTAAATGTACCAATTATATTGTTAAATGTTTAATTCATGACATTTTAATTTTGTTTTTGGTTTACCTTAACAGTGTAGTCGTAACAATTGGTGATGGTCCGTAAATAATTAAAAAAAATATTCAGTATATGAATTTGTTGAATATGTCATTTATTACAGGACATCTATTACAATGGGGTTTTATCTACACTGCGCCATAAACGAAATGACCACACTTCATACCAAATAATTAGTACTAGCAGTCATAGTTTGGTTGCCTCCTCTTTGTTGTCAATATGATATGGGGCCAGCTAATGAAGCCGGGGTGACTATTGTTTTTAGAATTGTTTAGTGATACGGAACCTAAACTTGTACGTTTTGTGAATTGTACGTATTTATACACATCCTTCATATTCGAAATAAGGAAAAAACTGGAAAACAGTAACGTATTTATCTTTACTGATGACAGTTATAACAGCTCTTCCTTATTAGCCCTTCAAGCTGTATTTGAGGAAAAAGACGGCTTACATTTACGGCAACGAGGAACTGATTATAGATATACTGTTGTTGATGTAAAAATATTAGGTCGCATGGGAGCTAGTTTATACGCAAGGATATATAAATATTGTTAACTACAAAAACATCACTATGATTTCTCGTGAATCGTGAATAAAAGTTACATATTTGACGTATTTTCCATGAGTAGAACTTACTGATATGTTACAGAAATAGTATCCCTTTACTAACAGCAAAATAATAGGAATTATGTGTATAAAAGTTATCTAATTTTCATCGCAATATATGTATCGTTATTACTACGGAGAGTGACTTACACTCGCGCCTCAATAGTTACAAGGCAACCTGTTTAGAATGCAACGCTAATCATTCGCTTTATACGTGCCATAAATCTATCTACTTTAGCTTGGAAACGAAACTTGCTTTTGTTAATAAAAATAAAGTACGTGTCAAATATTTGTGGGCAAGTTATTATGTAGTAAATTTTTAATAAGAATACATTATGTAACGAGAACCACAGTGCTTTGATATGTAACGATTCTAATATTAAGAGTGATCAGTCCGTGTCATACAATTTATCGTATGTAACTAGTGATAGATCGTTCGGGGTGCAGTCTTCACTTCCTTCCACACCTCCTGCGCCCGCGCCTCTCGGGCACCCACGCTTTATTAAAGAATCACCGCATTCAGTTTAAGTAAATTAATGTAAATACAAAAAAATCGTCGCAATATTCCTTGATTTTGGCTGTTTAACTGGCACTATCAGAATTTATATGTAATTATATTAATTGACTAAGTAGCGTGGGTTAATCTGTAACTTGGCAACTGTTTGGATTATCAAGATTCTGTGATTTCAAGTTTAAATCACGCTTAAAGCCAGACTATTTTACGCTGCTAAATGTTTCTTTTTATCCGAGCATTATTCAATTACATCAATTTAGGCCGTATGACTCCTGTTCATACCTAAAGTAGTCCTAGCAATTCCATAGTAGATGAGAGCAAAGTCGACTACTAAAATGAGAATGGTGTTAAGGTTAGTCTATCTATGTATAAAGCTTTACCTGACGGTTTGCAACTATGTGGTAAAATATATTATGTCAAATTATTCACCAAAAACCAAACTCTCCACGCTTAAGGGATACTTAATTGTTCAAGCGACCTGTTAATATAAATGTTATATTTTCGGATTACTATGCATATTTTTAAAACTACATACTCCTTACGTTTTGATTACTTTATGATAGGAGTATGTAGTTTTACACATAATAAAGTACGCGAAGTAATTCGAAATTATTAATTTCATTTAAATGAATCCTCGCTAAAGTCTTTGACCTGTTTATATTTAATTGAAGAAAGAAATATGAAATTCATCAAGGAGAATTACAAGCACTCGATCTAAAGCTAAATAAAAATAATAGTATATTGTACGATACGACAACACCTGTATTTATTATCTTATCTTTTGATTATGATTATTACAATGTATGTAGATTTAAATTTTTTATCAAACTATTATTATTTGATAAGAATGTATATCACATCCATTGTCAAATTATTGATTCAATTAATTTAAACCATATTTAAATTACGAGTTATTCTTACAACGGAACCATTGCCTTGAGTTATTAATAATGCGAGAGAAATCTGTTTGCAAAACGATTACTCTCTGTTTTGTTTAATTTATTGCAAAAACATCGGGATTTTTTAAAGAATGATACAATGCCTGAACATTTGCAAATTTTTTTGATATTTATTGATATTTATTCAAAGTTGCTGAAATTACAAGTATTACAAACATTTTTGAATATCTCATTTGTAAAATATATTGAATTATGGAGAGTAACTGAAAGGAGATATTAGATAATAATAATCCTTTATAGATAAAATTGTATTCTTATTGATAAGAACTGTAATTGAATGATTATATTAATTAATATACTTGACTTTAATATCTACTTCTATTAATTAATTATTATTGTCAATTATGAAGTTATAAAAATTTATGAGTTCTCACGATGTATTAAAATCCTCACAAATTATCTTGTCTTGTTAAAAGTTTCAAATTTGTTTCATCACCTCGAATATGAATTCTAATATCTCTTTCTAGTAAACTTAATTCTTTAAAGATTCACTGAACTAATTCATTATATTTATGTATTCTGTATTAGATAGTCCATGATGCATGACGATATAAGTTGAATGCTGCTATATAACTGAGGCTCACTTCTGCTTAATCAAAAATTATTTGTACTACATACATTAAATTGTTTTTATTTCATATAACTTCCACTAGAAATAAGAAAGGCACCTACAAGGGCAATTTTCAGGCGTTGTTTACAGGAACATTTTGCTCAGAATCTGTATTAAGTCTCTGTTTTTATTATTGTTTTTGGTGTATTGTATTTGTATGTGTATGTATGTGTATGTGTACGTATATGTATGTGTATGTGTATGTATATGTATGTGTATGTATGTGTATGTATATGTATCTATATATATATATGTGTATATATTATTTATATATCAATAGAAATTTATATGTATATTTTTACTTTTACATACTGCTACCGTCTTCATGTCTTTCTGCTTTGCCTAAGGGTTGACTGGCAGAGAATGCCTTCAGGCATTAAGTCCACCTTTTGTATCTACGTGTGTAGTTAGACACTAAAGTTTTTAAATAAATTTAAATAAATAAATAAATAAATCTAATTTTATTCTCTTCTCTTAACTTTTATCTGTAAGGCCTGTTAATTTTAATACTGTGCTTTAGATATATTTTTATATTTAAATTACTTAGTGAGAAACAAGATACGTTTCATATATAGTGTGACGAATTTCATTGACCTTAAGGGGTTGCAATAGCCTATGGATGACTGAAATTCTTTTGATATTAGTTGCTCATTTCCAAACACATCTTAATACGGTCAGTACTATTGACTCTGTTATTTATATTACTGTGACTTATGTTTTAATGGAGTATCTGTTATTGATAATACGAGTATCATAAAATATTTGTAACCGAATTTTATAACAGTACCTTTTACACAGTTAATAAGATACATGGGAAATATTTTTCGATGTTTAAAAGCTATCATATATGTGTAATAAAATTTATCTATCTATAATATTTATGCAAATATTATGTTTCGTTGTTTATTCTGTTGATAGTAACAACAAAGGCTCGTTTAAACTGTATCGTTGCTTTACAATGAACTATTGTCAGTCTGCTTAGAAACAACATCTGTTTTACAGTAACATCCTAACTTGTAGCTGCTAAGCATATATTAAGGATATGTATTTATTGATACATTAAATCAAATAATTAGCAGTTCCTCCCATTTGGTTTTAAGATTATTAGTTTGATCTAACTGAAATATTATTTTTAAATTCTGAACAGTTATTCTATTAAGATATAGACATTGTGTCAATGTAGATGTGAAGTAAAGGGTATTAAACATTTCATATAAGCGGAGAGGGCGAGTAATATAAGGAGAAACCTCTTCATTACCATACCAATTGGACGAGTAACTAAGGATCAATCCTTAAAAACAAACTAGTAATTATAGCGTATATTTCCCTTTGAAATGAATAATTAAAAGTTTTTCATAATGCACATATCTGTAATATTTTTATAATGTCATTAACAAACTCTTTATTTTATTAGCTAAATTATGAATTAAGCTAAATAGGACACCAAGCTGAATTGGCTTTTGGTCTTGTCAAATCAACGATTGTTTTCATAGCAAATTATTTGAGACCACTTAACATTGCCTTTGAATGGGTGAAATGCTCAAAGAACTTTTTATGCCGCCCGTATGAGGTGCCAACTAATTAACACACAGTTAGTGTACGTAAGTATCAGAAATACCACGTGCATATATGTTGTATGTTGCTATGAATGTTTGATGTGCTCCAATATTTGATTTTTGTCATATTCAAAAATACTTCAACTTTATTATGCTACCACTACTACTTTATCTTCCCGAAGCAACTACCCAACTTAAAACGATATAATATCATTTTATTTCAAATCCTCACCCTTCTAGGTGTATCTTCTATCTGTGAGTAATGTTACCATCAAGTGACTTAAGATAACGCAGATTTCTACATCTAATATTGTTCTTAATTCCACATATACTTTATGCTCTTGACATAGTTGACAGCGTTCATCAACTACCAAATACGTTTAAGCAGTTGTGAAACCAGTTTAGTCGTAGTATTTGTAACACAATGACATCAAAGATACCACAATGTAAATACAATATCTTAATTTAATCTCTTCATATCTGATAATGATTTAAATCAAACTGTAACTTAATCAACTTGATTAATTGTGGTGGAACCATAGAAGGACTTGATTTGAGTCAAATTATAGTTTATGTGAGTATATGTATGTATGGATAGCGCCGATGTTATATATTAAAAGTAGCAGTTTTTTTTTATATTATACTAGGTTCTTATGAAGGTTTCCAAAAAGTTTATTATCCAAAAATATTTTGCGCAGTTATGGAAACTGTTCGAAATATTTTGTGAAGAATTAAATTAAACACATTGTCTACATTTCAAATGGTCCCTAATTTGTTATTTCATCAAAATCTTGGTCCATTTCCCGCTATCACATCAATTACTTTCTTGGAACAGAAATTACAAGATTGTTACATCGTTTTTCAGTTATAATTTACTGTTTATGGCAGAATGAGATTTTTAATCTTCTTTTTTGTTATTACTGTGTTAAGTAGGACTTTATGTTTTGTGACTGTCTGTACATTTTCCAAAGGAGAGTGGTATGGTAATTGTGTTAGTCATTCCTGAATTTCAATGGATTTTTCCATAAAATAGGACATCGGACTTGTGTATTTCATTGAATCCTTCCACTCCCGTGTTTTATGACGAACACTGATCTGAATCTGATTGTAATTTTTCTTCCACAGGGACAAGTACAGAGGTTACAAGAAAGCTTTCAAAAAACATAGAAGCAGCAAAAAATAACACGAAAAATATGACAAAATTAAAACATTATGTCGTTTGATGAATTTTTAATAATTCTGGTTTATTTGTTTGGGAATTAATATTTCCTAACTTGCATCACTTTCATTTCTTCGCCCACGTAATCTTTAACCAACTATCTTATGTTTGATGGATCGCAGAAAAAGCGAGCTTAACTATAAATGTTGAGAGCAACGGTTTTTTTCTCCATTTAGAGATTTAGTCCTTTGAGATCACTTTCTCAATCTTTGGCAATCTGAAATGGTTTATTGAATCTCCTCTAACTATTCCGTATAAAACGGAGAAGACGTTTTCCTATGATTCAAAGCATTTCTCAGTATTTCGCAATCAAAACGATCTTTGGTAACACAATTATATACAATTCTTGGGATGTTAATGTATTTACGGGTAGAGGTGAACCTCTAAACGATAAGTTGCTCAACTGGAAGCGGCCATTTAACAGTTCTAGATATTTAAATTGGAAATTTTCTTTGTTAATGTAAAAATTTAGGTATCGCACTGATTTTATATAAGAATTTTTTAGGAATTATAAAATTTCAAAATATGTATTATCGCTTCATGCTTTTGAAAAAGGTTATAATAAAAAACATTAATTGTTATATAAATAATTGAACTTTGCTGTAAATAAATAATTATATAAGAAATTTTAAAAGTATTTGTTGTAACAAATGTTTCACGTTAGAAATTATAAAGATTTTTTATTGAAATTAATGGTGCTATCAACTATAATTATTATGCCAGTTGTGAGTTAAAGGTACATGTAATACAAGTTGTAAAAACATAAATAGTGATTACTAATATTTGTGATACAAAGTAAATTTTCGTTTTTATTTATTGACACCCTTTTTTTGCATCAAAAATTATTGCTACAATGAGCTTAACAATGTTAGCGCGTGTCATCAGACATTTGTTTTTAAGCTAATCATGTGTTTAATAGAGCTATTGACACTGTCGTTATGTTTAACTGTTATAACATGTTAATTATATTATTAGTTACTTACGTGTATCCAGCTAGTATATCCATGAGAGAACTCTTTCCCGCCCCAGACTGTCCTATAATTACGTTGAGCTCTCCTGAATTGAATTGTCCGCTGACTTCTTTGAGAATCGTTTTGCGTCCTGGGTAAAAAATATTGATTATTATAATATTTTAAGTGGAAATGTAAGCTACTTAATGTTATTTGGCTAACGATAACCTATGATTCACTTTTATGAAGTTGGTTTTTTTATAATCGGTTACTTATAATTTCGTCATTCATAAAAAAACCATTTAATGTAATTGTAATTAAATTTAAAATGATAGAATGATCTTTAATTTTACATTTTTATAACGTCGCAAATCGCGATAATAATAAATTAATTAAAATTGTCTAATTTGGTAGGACAAATAAAAATAGATATTCAAAAAAACCTCTTTATGATTAGAATTATTTTGAATATATATTTATACGTGAATCGTTAGTTATTTGTGAGGTCAATAACATTAAGAAACCGTGTTTAGTATTACAATAAAAGAAATGGTTTTGAATTTTGTCTTAATCTTATAATGTTAAAAAAAGAAATAGATCTTATTCATCTACATTAGATATTTTAAATTTAGTTTAAATATACATCATTTGTTATTAGATAGATGTAATTTGTCAAAATTGTGGTGTCAAATCATATGATTTAAAATATTTTTGTCTGCAGCTAATAGCTGGTAAATAGCAATTGTTTTTATGGTAAGTAGTTTTCATCACTTATAAATTTGCAATATGACATGGATTTCAGATGCTTTCTGATATTTATTATAAATACTATTATTTTTAGAATTACTTTGTTAACTACACCTACACTTATTGTTTTAGATAAGATCCAATATATCCTGTTAAATATTGCTTTGAATACAACATTCTAAATTAAATGAACAAATTAACTAATTATGGTTTTTCTGTTAAGATTTAAGTTAATAGAATAAAAATATATTTGAATAAATATAGGTATCTGTTTAGATAACGCAAAATAGTAATATTTATGTAACTGACACTTAATAGCCTTTTTATAAATAGAAACGACCGATGTAATTTTATAATGTCTACATTGTCGAGCGACATAAATATAGTGCATATGTTTTACAATAGTTTTATAATTTAAACGATCATTCAATTAATACAAATAATATTAAAGAATGCTTATTTTCTTTTGAATCACACAAAGGTGAACGTCTTCTTAATCAGTGAACGTCACGTCTTGATAACACACGTGATTTGAATGAAAACTTATTTTTAATCATCAAACAGTCGGATACAGAATTATATTCGGAAAGGTGACGATTTATCTAAATTACATCGATAGATAACAATATAAGCGATGTTCGGTTCTAATACGGTTTCATTGAATCAATTAAAAAACTATTAAAGGCTATCCCTTTTGTTTACAGAAATTTAAATGACATGATAATTTTCTTGTAATTAAAAAGGTGGATGATTTAAAATGTTAAATAGATATTCCAGTAACATAATGGCAGATTCTGAAGATGCTGTTATATGTCCTAGATCAGCTTACAGCTCCGAGTGCTTCAAAGATCATTATTTTAGTAGCAAAAACTACATTTACGAGGAAAATAGGTTAATAATTAATAATGTATGTCATTAGATATAATAAACTCCAATTAATTATATTATAATCAACAAGTTTCTCCTAATCGCGTTTGTTCCTCGTGGGTGCAAGCGTTAATGCATACATGCGTATTGGTTTAGGTATGCGTGTAGATAGGAAAAATATGTGTCGGTTGGCAAGTACATTGAAGATTTATTCTTGAATCACGAAGTCACACTGCTTGTGTGGATGGCTTTTTCAAGTTATATTTTCTATTTGATTCTTATTCGGGTTTTGATACAACATACTTTGATTGGTTGACGTTATAAACATAATCATGAGAAGAATTCTTTCCGAATACTTCAAGATTACTATCTTGAAACATAAATGACGAGAAAATAAGAAGAGATATATGGGATAAAATGGAATGCAATGTCATTGTGATAAAGTTGAAAGGAAATGTTGTTGTATTGTACAAGTATAAACATATAAATACATATATGTATATTGTTATTTTCATATTTAAAACGATAGAAAAGGACGTACAATTTAATGAGATAAACTGCTTCAGGGTGTAAGCGTTGTAACCCATGCAATACTCTGTATTCGACACATAATTTTTCTTAATTGATAAATAACAATGGAGAAGAAATAAAATATCCAGTCAGTATCACTTTCCTTTGAATTTTTTAATTGTTAGATGTAATAAATCAGAGGAAAGCAGTTTTGCAACAAGTGGCCGATACAAAAGGAAGGTTATCTGGTTTAAAATAAATGAATTTTATTTCTTTGAAATTTATAACTGTTAAATAACTATACTAACTTTGACACATTAAAACAAATCCGTTATTATCTACATATTTCAAACAATAACGATGTGGCGTCAATAGCAATAGTACTGTATTATCAACGTCTACACGTGGTTCCCTGTCTAATTCAAGGCCAGATTCTTGCGTTGATGATTTTTTGTGTGGACCACGAATTACTTACTATTAATATAGAGAGTGAAATCCCAGAGAGAGAAGACATGAGTTATTTTTATAGAGATAAAATCTTAGGTTCCCGTAGCGTCTACTGTGCTTTAAATATCTGCCTGATTATTGAACTTGCCTAGCGAAACCTAGCAAGATATTGATACTTTTCTTAAGAAATATCATTAGTGTTAGAGATATTACTCAAAAATATAAATGAACACTACCTATTCAAACATGTCTTATATTTATTTGTTATAAAAGTTGCACTCTCTTTAATGAGTGTAGATAAAATTATACCATTGCGGAGGTAAGAAAGAAATTTAAACATACATATTTAAATATTTTATATTGAGACGTATGGGCACAGCACTGCCGTGCAGTGAATTTTTGTATTTTAGGGTTCCTTGGTCATTACCTTTGTCATAGTTACCTTAATGACATATTTATAAATGAGACGTATGAAAAAAAGTTAACTGAACTTTATTGTATTTTTATAAGGAATAACAAATTTTTTGATCCATAATAACTACTGTCTGACACTAATAAATATTTTAGAATAATATTGTACAAATATATTTTAATCAGCCGTACTAATTTATGTTAAAAAAGCCTTATTTTCAGTTATCTTTCTTGCTTAGTATCTGCCAAGGTGTCTGCCAAACAAAGAGCTCTACAATCATACAGATATTTAAAGTAAAAAAAACGCTAACCAACACAATATCTTTCTACATTATATGTCAATTAGATTTATGTTTGATCACACTAGGATCTATGAGTAATAGAATTTTAATTATACTATAGTAATTAATTGAATACTTCCTAGACTCAACGTTTAAGGTGACGTATGTGGCTGACGCAATTTTAAACCTATACGACACTTTATAAATAAATAGAAACTTATTTTATTCATTCAATAGAGGAAGAATGTCTCTTCATAGAAAGGGCAGGACAATATTTAAAGAACCATATCAAATTTAGAGGTCAAATACGATATAAATACGTGAATACAATGAAAGGAAATTTAAAATAGCTCTTTAGAATTAAAAATCTTTTGAAATATATTAGAAGGGGGAGTATTTTCAAGGTTTCGTTATGCAGACGATCGTCTAATACGGCGTCAAATAAGAAGAGTTATTAAATTTTTCTACATACATTTATACATTTATTTTCACATCTAGTTTTAATTGCCTGATTGCAATATATTTTATTGATTTCACCGTCAAATAGTTTTAGGATTGATTCAAGATTAAGTTGTCATTTCTAAATTGTAATTTTGAATAATTATAATTTAGACACTCAAAGTAGAACTTGTCATCTGATACTGGATCTATAAAAGATCTATATTATTAAATATTAAAACCTGTAAAACTACTTTATAGACAACAAATATATTAATTTCGAGTTTGAGATAAAAAATTAATGTTACATCTCATATGCCAGTGACCCAAAGAAAATGAGTTGATTCACACGAACAAGAAAATAAATGTTATAGTTATTGTGTAACTTTATATAATAAAAAAATTCAATAAGGAGATACTAATATAAAAAAAAACTTAATATTAAAACAAAGTTGCTTCAACATTTGTACTGTAAATGCAAGAATGATTGCATTTTTCAATGCCAATTAACGAAACAGAGCGGAAGTATAAATATTTCGTAAGAACTATAAGTTTTTTCCTTTCTCGATCTCATTACTAAGAACTTAAGAAAAGGAAAAGGATTTGTTTACGGAGCATATAAAGATTTTTATTCACTTTTAGGTACTCAGAGATTGAGATAAAAGAATTCTGTACTGATTTATATCTCTAGCTACTATTGCTGTTACAATTCATTCATTAAATGCGTAAGAATTTAACAATTATTCTTCAGTGTTGTTAAAATAATCATGTGAATATTTTTAGGATTATATTTTTAAATTTATTATATTATATTTAATAATCGAGATTAAACCCACCGTCCGGACTGACAGCAAATAGATTTGACTCAACAGATTAACGTAGTTTAATCTTACTTAAACGCTTTTTTTTACTAGAGAACATATAAAAAGTATCAAATCACTTACAAAAGCGATTACTTTAAGGAACTTAAGAATAATAAAGACAATAAAAATAATGACTCGAATGGCCAATTTGTTTATGTTGATCGAATCTTTGGGCAAAAATGTTATAACTTTTAATACATTTGTTTATATTTATGTTATATGGAGTTCTTCATACAACTGTCGGTCGTTTGTGATCATAGTAAATACATTTATACATACATATATATATGTATGCATCTTGATAACTGAATTGTTTAGACGTAAGACTAACGATATCTCTTTGTACGTATACATATGTATGTTGTTTACTATTAGCACGTGTTTGGGCACTGCGTAATGGCGTTAACGATATTTTTTATACATCGCATTTTATGTAACGGGATTTCTTTAAATCGGTTCCCTATTTATGTATATAAGAATATAATGCGGCGAATCTTAGTGTATATGGGCAACTTTCTTATTTATGATTTTTACCATACATATTTTAATCTTTTCCGACCCCAAATAATGAGAAGAGGCAAGGAAGAAGAAGAAGAAGATATTTTAATCTAATCAAAGTCGGTACGAATAACATTGGAGGATAAAATTGGTAGACTTTCTGGTAAATTGACATATTTCTTTTTAACAATGAAATTACATACGTAGAATTATGAATTAAATCTGAAACTGATTGTTATATTTGTTTCTAACACTGTCGTTGACCGAGTATACGAAAACTATTTTTGGCCTTTCGGGGTATGTGACGGCATCACACGTGTATCTGGCATGGTTCAGTGGCCCCACCCATCTCTGCTATGAAATAACACCCTTGCGACATAATTTATTAAGGGGTAATTTATAGGAAGCATTTGGGAATAAAAATAATGTATGCTCAAAATGCTCCGTATTATTTGTATACATTTGTAATTTATAATTGTATATAACCATCCTTGACCGTTCATATTATTTCCTTGCTTTATTAACGAAACCAAGAATGCATTTATTGGCACATATGATCCTGTTGACTGACCTAACTTATTGTATAATAATATTTAGTTTTTGTTATATTTATATAAATTATAAAAGCATATTATTATTAACGAAGTTTCTTATCTAATATTTTAAATCACAAACAGGAATCTATTTTGAATATTTTATTTATTTTACTAATATGAGATAGAGAAAAATCTTACCTATTATATTTTATTAATGCAAAAAAATAGAACATGTATTTGCTGTTTCTTTTTGAGAATGATCAATTGTAATATTAAATTTTATATTCACTATATGATATTTTTATTTGTTATTTTTTGTTGATTTATTAAATGATCCTTTCCGGTAACGTAGCTAATGTTCATTACGAAGTATGTTCTTGGCACACTGATAAGGAACTTAGAATGTCACCGATAATAAAATTTGGCACATTTAATAATTTATTCATTGTATTGTTTTAAACCCTTATTTTAAATAAGTTTATAATAATAAAATTATAAAAATTACTATCCTGTTCATAAATACAATCATATCATTTTTGCTGTTCTGTTTTTATCTTTCAAATTTAACACGCAAAGAATGAATGCAACGTTTAATAAACAATTAATTAATGTTGAAGAGAATTCACTTTAAATAAATAAAGATAAGTAAATGAATGTCCCTAATAATTAATAAACATTTAGTTACATATAAAATATATATTGTTACATTTGAACGTCAATAATCTTATTAACTTCACCTATCTAATTATATATTTAAACTGAGAAAGTTTTAGCTCAGACTCGTGTTAGCAACAGAACGATAGTAAAAACTGGTCTGCAGTTTAATATGTATCTATATTTAAAACTCGAATCGAATGGAAATAACTCTTTAACAAAATATTGTTACTAAAAGGACTTAAATTAATAAGCACTATCTTTAAGTTTAGTTTCTTTGTTATAATTTTTCAAAGTTATTTTTCATATCGCTGTTGGTAAACATACGTAGGGCGATGGTCAAAGAGCATGTTTCAAAACTTATCGAAAGTAAAAACGTAACACTGTTTATAACATAAATTATAAAGTGCCTTGTATGACACAGTTACATTGTTTATTTCTTTGTAGACTCTTGTAGCACAGATGTAGATAGTACATCTTGAAGCAGGCATTCTTAATTTTTGTTTATCATTCAAGTATGATAATGAGTGTTGAACTACAGATAACTATCGTTATGGTCCCGCGTGTCGATGATAAATTGTATAAAACGATACCACATAATATTATGATGTAAAAGAAAGCTCACCTCCACCCGAGAACAAATCTCTAACTTTGTAACACACATCCTCAAAGGTAATATTTAGAGAATCTTCTACCAATGCTGTAGAATTGGTCTCCTGTGAATCTGATTGGCTGTCCGAAGCCATGTTTTCCATTCAAACATATATATTACACAAGAACAAAGGGTTGACTTTCCATCGCGCGTTTGGAAGCACAAAGAATTGGTTTAGATGTAAACAAAGGGAAACAGAATCACTAGAACTACTACACGCCCAAACGCGGCGACGGTTAGTTCGACACTGGGTTGCGCAGGCGTTTCTACTATGAAATTATCGGTCGTTACTCGTTCTCCCCACTCCATTTGCTGTATACATACAACACCTGTACAAGCAACCGATCGCCTATTTCGTACTTAATACATATTCTGGTTAAGCCACCAATTAGTGAATGACAATTAGGGTATATCATATAATATCAAACTGTCATTGATTCACTGCCTTTTGATAGTAAATTTTGTCCGATAGGTATTCAGACCTAACTTTCGATATTCATCTAAAAAAGGCTGTTTCAAAAAGTACTAAAGAACCGTCTTTCAAGCTGACGAGCTTGTTTTAGGGAATCCAGGGGAAATAAGTTTTCTCATTTTCTGATTTAACTCTAATAACAGAAATACTCCTTGTATTTCGGATAAATTTTAATAAACGTAATTTTGTATAAAATTACGTTTATTAACATTTATCAATTTATTATATGTAATTTTTCTTTTTGTTTCAAACAAAACAAAACTTAGAATTCATTAAATAGCACATATTGTTCTTGGATTATTTTTAAATTTTGTAATATTGTGACGAAAACATTGTTGAAAAGAAATAAAAACTGTTGAATTTAAATGGCTGAAAATAGAAATAGCTATCTGTCTGTCTCAGACAAACCGGGTGTCGTAGAATGATAATCGATTTATTAAAAATATATTGTATGTCATTATTTTATAAATCACGTAACAAATGCTTTCATCCATAATAGTCATAAGGTGGTGCTTAATAAAAGATTTAATAAAATGTTATGACTTATAAGTGCCTAATAGAATTAGTAGAGCAAATTATTTAAAAACGTTCAATGCGGTTAATATTCAAATGAAGTAATTAATTGTAGCAATTGTTCACGTATATGAATAGTGTGATGAATATATATTTTTTTATCAGAAGGTCACACAAAGTAATATCAGTCAACAGAATAACCTTGAAGTCATAAAATTTGTGATGGATGGAAACATTAAATTAAAATCCATTTTCGAGATGTATTTTGAAGCATTTAAAGTAATTAAGTTTTATAATAGTTTCAAAAAGCTAGAAATTAAATTTTGTGTTATTATGGTTTTTATTCTAATTGGTCGCTGTAATGTTTATTAATTATCATCAATTAGTTATTTTGTTTCCTTTCAGAAGTAGATGTTGTAAGGTAATGTAATATTGTTTTATTTAATGTTTTAATAATACTAACAAAACGTTCTTAAGTGTTTCTTTTACTTTATCACTAAACGATATTTGTGTTCATTATCTTTGTAAATTATTAATTTAATATCAAAATAAAATTATCTCCAACTTTGTTCAGAAGAAACCAGACAACAGTAAATAAAATAAATAAATAATTTTTATAATTAATTATACAGACTTTCAAGAGATACTCCATAAATATTGAGATTCGATAAAGTATTCTTTATTAAATACTATTAGTATCACATGAGGTGGTAGAGCCTAGCTGTAGTCAATTCACTACAGCTCGAACATGGGCTGGCTCGACCGGGGAAGTACCACCCTCTCACAGAAAATCGGCGTAAAGTAGTTTTTAAAGGCTGCGTTTCGTCCGGTGAGTTGCCCTTTCCCTTTTCCCAACCTTTCCTTTCCCTCCCTTTCCCTCCCTTTCCCACCTTTTCCTCCTCCTTTTCCCCAATCAAGGGCGGCAACACATCCACAAATCTACGTTGCGGATGTCCATGGGCGACGGTAACTACCTACCATCAAGTAGGCCGTCTGCTCAGTTGCCCCCTTTTCCCATTAACATGTAATTTTTTTGTTATAATTTGACAAAGGATTTACTTTGAAAGAAACCAGAAGCGTGTATTAAAAACTAACTTTCAAGATTAGGACAATAAAATGACAAAGGTTCCATTTAATCAAAGTTAAGCTAAGTCGGAATAGTTTAACAAATTTATTATTACTTATCCAAGATTTCATTATTTGTACATTTCAAAACCACGAAATATAATTTAAATATTTATTTCAATATTGTTTACCTTGTATTCTAAACATTATATAAATTTTTACAAATTTATATTTAAAAAAATAATCAGTTTTCAAAGCAGCTTTCCAAAGTTCTATCAGAAATATTTGATGTTTTTGTAATTTATTTCATATAGAGGGTTTTAACCGAAGAGATAACAAGGTATAATATATTACTTATAAGTCAGCGGCGTCGATTAAATCAGACCAAAATATTATTATTTTCTGCGTCTTTAAAACTATATTTTTAATAGATTTTTTTTCTTTATAACATTTGGTACTTAATAAATATTTAAGTTATTTCGAATTTAATTTAAATTTGTATTTGTTTCTATGTATTTATAAAGTGTAAGTGTGTTTCTATGTAAGTTTTTTACCCTGCCGTTTCTTAACTTGACTCTAGCTGTTAGCTATATTGGTTTTCGACATCTTCAAGGTGGGTGGTCCGATGAGACTTACGGGTTATTCAAGTTGTAAGGGTACCTCTAAATTTCAGTACTTGGGCTTAGGACGTCTTTGAAGGTAGAGTTGGCATATGGGGATATGACTGCATGAAGTTCTCCGAGGGCAGAATGCTGAAGCAACATGTATGAAGCCGAACCTGTGTGTGTGTGTGTGTGTATGTGTTTAAGGGCATTCATGTTTAAGTTCTCAGTCGTTATTTCGTTGTCAGTTTCTTACGGACTTTAGGACTCTTTCTATCAGGAAGTTTAAGGACGACGAGTGATCTGATGCTTCTACAACGAGCAAATTGTCTCTTTGAGATCGTCTTTTAGTGAATTGTTATTGTAGGAAACTGGAGTTCAAGAGGCTGGAATTTAGCGGTTGTTTACTACAGACATGTCATACACTCTGTTTCTTTACTTCTGATAAATAAGACTTTAAAATTCTTAAGCAGAAATGAGATTACAGGTGTGTCCGTTGAATAAATAATCAAATTAGCCTCTTTAACCTGATCAGTTTTTATTAACACTTTGAGTGGTTTAAGAAAATTTTATATGGTACACTTGTAATGGTATACTTGTATTACAATTAATTAAACTTTTTCGAAAATTGCTGCAACAATTTTAGTATAAAGTATTGAAGGATATCATAATAATCAACTATAACTTGATGTGCCAATTAACTATAACTATATCTCAGTAGCCTCTTGAGACGGGCGTCACCTCTGGACCCATCAAGCTTCAATTCCATAGGTAGGTCTTACTCAGATCATCTATTCTACCACAAACATCCCTGGCGATACTCTCAAAGCCAAAAGTGTTAACAGCAAAAAAGTAGAACAAAATCAAGTAAATACTTGACTCCAAACTTATGTTTTGCATTGCATTTTAGGACTTCTGTCATTCAATCTTGTTTATTTCGAAGTAATGGCATCCATTTATTTAATAAATTTTAAAATGGTCTAAAATTTTTCTGTTTTTCATAAAAAAATATTAACGTGCTAATCAGACACAATGACTATAATGTCTACACTAATAATGTACAGAAATGATATAATGTGCTGGCATCCGCATGTAAATGACTACTGGTTAATTTTAGAAATACGTATAAGAAACAGCACTAATATAATTAAACTTTTTTTTGTATTTTGTAGTAGCATTACATAGTTTAAAGTAACACAAGATTTTTTCAGTAATTAGTCCGGTTAAAACATTTAATTCTTATTTGAGATGACCTTGAGATTTTCATAATTGAAACCACAATTTAAAGAACTCTTTTTCAGAATTCATTCATTTTTATAATTCAAATAGAAAATCATTTAATTTTATTCAATTAATAGCTCAACATAATATTAATATTTAAATATAAATATACGCGAATATATGTACTATGTTTCAAATACTCGAGACCCACAAAAATTAAGTAAAAGAATAATTATATTTTTTTTTCATATTTGATTAGGTAGAGAGAGGAGCTTGGACAGTGGAGTTGATTATTTAACGCGCATTCAATCCACACCTGGGTCGCAAGTTCCAGGCACTGTTGAAGCTCCTCTCCCTGCTATGGACCCAGCACCCGCACAGCGAATCCATTGAATGCTAATGGTTTCGTCTCTCGTTGATACTATGTACAATGAGAGAAGTTTTTTTCTGTTTTTAGATTGAAGATACAAACTTATGATGTCTAATTAATAGCTATGAAATTTTACTTTGCTTTTTTCTATAACAAGATAATATCATTTATAAAAATTTTCAATAGATTATGAAGGCAGAAAATCTGTTGGTACTTTTTATATGCTTATAAAACCAAAGTAGTTAATTAATTGCTTTAAAATGAAGATATTTTTTGTAATGTATTATTTTTCATTAAACAAAACATATTATACTTTTATAATACTGTTGTTTCATCATACAATGCAGACAACATTTTAGACATTATGTAAAAGTAAGAGCGTGCAATTAGCGTTATTTCTAGTATCATCGAGTCGATCACCTCAGGCTGCATTAGAAGATGCCACTGAAAATATTAATCGTAGAATTAATGGACATAATAGAATAAAAAATAAAGGTACACATAAAATTGAATGCATAAAAGAAACCGTATGTTACCTGCCGTTTCCCCCTTCTTTGAGAAGCGCAGGAATGTCTCGGTACATAAAATGTTTCCAATTTTCGAGGTTATATGTGTTTTAAAGACATAGTCTCCATAGAAAAAGGACTTGCCAAGAAATGATCTCAATACTTCATTCATATTCACCCTCACTCTATATAAACCCTTGGAATATTAAAAAAAAGTATTAAAATTAAAATAATATTACATTTTATTTGGTATAATTGAAAAGTTACTTTGATAAAGTCTACAAAGAAATAGTATGGCACAAACCTTAGCATCACAATTGTTTGTATTAAAATATATTTTTACCAAGCCAGCGA